GCTGTTTGTCGGCTCAGCGCGGCAGCCATGTAAATGTAAATGAAGCCGCGATCATTTAAATCGCGGCTTCATTTACCTTTGCTGAATAAACAAATCTACATGCCTCTGCCGACAGAGGCATGTAGTGTAGACGTATCCTTATTGTCAAAGTGGTAGCTGACAACTCTCCAGTATGTTTCATGCCAGTCATTATGTTCCTAGTCCATTAAGTACCATTCCATCATTATTGTAGACTTGTAGATAAACAAGGTTTAGTGTGAGTGTGATCTTAGTTATGTTCATTGGGCAAAGCTTAATACTATCAGTTTCACTAAGATACTACTCTGCCATTGTCAGATTCTATACTGAATTCAAACACCAGCCCGTTGCCTTGTCTGTATTAGAGGACTCAGGTGTTTTTCTTCAAACAATTGTTTTGCATCAGCAGAAGCATACATGATTGTATGGGTGCAGGGTGAACACTAGCTACCCTCAGTTGGCGTAAATTTTTCCCTTGTGTCCTCACAAGTGCTGCCTTACCCTTATCTGTTGTAAGAGATGGATGTCAGTTCAGACAGCACTCTCATCTGGTGAACCTCCTGTAGCCTGTCTACAATAGACTGTTGCTCCAGTTTAACTGAAACTGGTTTAAAAACCAGTTTAATTAAACTGGTGCAAAACCCTTTGTAAACACTTATTTCTCTATAAAATTGGCTTATTTCAATTTAGCTTAAGCTAAATTGGTATAAGCCATTTTTAAACCAAAAGAAGATTGTCTGCACATAGTTTTGTGCCAGTTCAGCAAATCAGTTTAAAAATCCACCCTTTTCAAAACCAATATAAGTCGCTGCATAGACCAGGCTTCAATTCACTGGTTGAGTGTCCATCTCTGCCTCTGTTTTACTATGCCCATCACAGATTGTCACCTATAAATCCCCAAATATGGTCCCTCTCTGTGGAAACTGCAGTTGTTCAGTATTCCTCGTGGCTCGTTACTGGTCAGCTCTGTATGCTTCTCCTAACCCCTCTGTATTTCCTCTAGGGTATGTCTAAACTGCATTCCTCTTTCAAGAGAGAAATACAAATGTAGCCAAACGAAATTGCAAATGAAGCACGGATTTGAATTTCCCGTGCTTCATTTGCATAATGGCGTCCGGCCACTATTTCAAAATACCCTATTTCGTGATAAAAAACGCCACGTAGTTGCGGTTATTTTGAAAAGAAACTCCTTCAAAATTCATCATTGATAGTATGGACTATACTAAATATGGAAAACATATGTAACATGTATGTAGTATGTGTATATATCTGTATGGAAACACATACACAAAATGTGTAACAACATGTACAACATTACAGGCAGTCCCCGGGTTACGTACAAGATAGGGACTGTAGGTTTGTTCTTAAGTTGAATCTGTATGTAAGTCGGAACTGGCGTCCAGATTCAGCCGCTGCTGAAACTGATCAGTTTCAACAGCGGCTGAATCCGGACGCCAGTTCTGACTTACATACAGATTCAACTTAAGAACTAATTCAATCCAGGTAAGCATGGCCCACTTCCAACAGCTGATAAGAAGATGAGCATACCTAAGGGAAAATTACCTATTGTAATGAACTAGCTGCTCCCAGTCCCAAGTCAGACCCATCCTGATGGTGTCAAGTCAGCCTATGAATTACTTCAAGAATAGTTTTTATATAGCAGGGGTTGCCTTCATATCTGGTATTGGCTGAATTTCACCTCCTCTTTGTCCATTGACAGGCAGGGCTGGATTAGCCAGTAGGCACAATAGGCACAGTGTCTAGGGCCTACAAAAATGGTTAGGGCCTACGAAAAAATGTAGGGCCTAAAAAATTCATAATTCACTGGAAAATCAGAAAAGAACACTGCTAAACCAAACTTAATAATTCGCTATCTTTGGTCAACAAACAACATACAGGTTTAACATACATTTAACTACAGGCAGTCCCCGGGTTACGTACAAGATAGTGACTGCAGACTGGGGGGGGGGCAAAGCAGAGCAAAGCAGAGCCAAGCCGCGGAGCACGTGGGCAGCGGACAGCCCTGTCCGCTGCCCGCGTGTTCCGCCGCTTTGCTTCCTCTTCCTGGTCTGCTGGAGACCAGGGAGACAGGCCCCGTTCGTAACTGCGGATCAGACATAAGTTGGATCCGCGTAACTCGGGGACTGCCTGTATTACAGATGCACAGAAATACTGTGGGAGAGATCACCTGTGGCTCAGGGCTCAGCCGCCAGGGATCAGCTGTGCAGCACTTCACATGTGGAGCTCGGGGTCAGCTGAGGACTCCCCTGCTGATCCCAGGTTCCGCGGAAATCCTGTGCTGAAGCCCAGGATCAGCTGGGGAGTCCCCAGCTGACCCTGGCTCCGGGTGGCATTTCAAAGTGGCAGCACAGCATGGAGCCTGGGGTCAGTGGGGGACTCTGAATCCCCCGCTGACCCTGGGATCCTGCACTGTCGCTTTGAAATGCACAAGAGCCCCCGCTGGGGACTCTTGTGCATCCGCTGGGGACTCTTGTGCATTTCAAAGCTGGCACTCGCATGCAGCCTGGAGTCAGCGGGACTTCCCACTGGCCCCGGGACTGCAGCAGAGTTCTGCATTCCTCCTTTGAAATGTACAAGAACCACAACGTGGGCTCTTGAACATTTCAAAGGAGGAATGTGTAAGTGCCTATTGACTAGTTGAGTAGTCGATGGAAATTCTATCGACTACTCAACTAGTCAATTAACAGCTAGTTAACATCCTTAGGTTATAAACAACTGCCAGAGATTAGCCCAGCCCTGTCATTTCCATATTGTTAAAAGAGAATGGTTCCCAGCTAGACCTTAGGTAAATAGATGAGAGTAGGGGCCTTACTACGGCAAAAATTGAGAACAGCTAAATTACAGCTTTGTAAAGAGAGGCTGAGTTTTTCTGAAAATGCTCCAGTACTTTTGTTTTTGTTTTCCAGTAATCAGATGCATTAAAACATTATGATTGAGCTGAATTTTTATCATTGAGACTCCTAACTACTTGGGCCAGATCTGAGATAAGATAGCCATTGTTGCGTGCAGAATCCTGTATGTGCACACTTACTAATCTCAGTGGTCACGTGGAAGTGTTCAGGGATTACAGATTTAACTTTTTAATTATAGTGCACATAAGCCAAGAGGAAAACTGAAATATTTTAACTCCATAATATTAAGACAGGAGAATATGCTACAGATGAAGAAGATGAAGACATGGGACCTGTCCTTCCAGGAGGTGACATGGCCATTGAAGTGTTTGATCTTCCTGAAAATGACGACATGTTTTCCCCAACTGAGCTGGACACCAGCAAGCTTGCTCACAAATTCAAAGAGGTAAGGAGGACAGTTGGGCAAGATTTCTGGGACAGCACTGGTTCTAGTAATCTCATTCTTCAATTATTTGGGTTTCTCTGTGAAAAACAGAATTGATTTCCAGCTTATTTGTATAGTCAATAGTTGTAAATGGCTCAAGAAGTCATGCTTGAAATAAGTGAGACCCATTTTCTCAGTTTGTGGCCAGATATCTGTTGTGTTCACAAAGGCTCTGCAAAGCATGAATCGTTAATAGTTTTACTTATTAGAACAATTTACAGTATGATGAATTTTCAACAAAAAAAATCTTTCCATGTCTAAGCACTTTATTTGCAATTTTCAGGGAGGAGGAGAAGCTGTGGGTTACTTCACTAATGGCAGATCGATTGTCTTTTTAAAGGAGCGTTTACTGTGAGAATTGAACATGTAATTCGTTGAGAGACAAATAGGCTAAACGTCAGTGAAAATGAATTCACTGGTTCCCTCTACTCCATCACAAACCCACTCTTAGGTGTACTTCAGTGTGACACATCTGGCAGTTAGTTTAAGAAAGGCTCCTTTTTTTGGAGAAGCAGACATGGTGCATGTTTGGGTTGAGATGCTTTGATGGTGCTGTGTGGAGGAGGCTTGCCTAGAGCCTGGTAGTACTAAGTCTGGCTTAGGTTAGTGATGTTAGTTGCAGTCAGTGAATCACTCACAAAGTTTGACAGACAATCAGTAGAACCATTGTACGTTAGGTTCTGAACTCTTGGTGTGGTTTGTGTTTCCTCTTCTGCAAAGTGTGGTGTCAATAGAAACATTTAGTGCTTCCCATGCGCCAGCAGTAATTGGGCCAAGAACAGTGACAATAAAGTCCATTTTTCTTTTTTAAATAGGGTGAAGATGGAAGGGGTGAGAGCAGCCGGAGCCTCATGGGGGAGGTGAGCGGCAGAACCCTCATGGGCCAGAGGGCAGATTTAAAAGAAAAAGTCTCCCCTGTCCCCCCCCCAAAAGCCAGTTCTGTTATTTTCTGTGAATACATATGATTGGCACTGGGAGTTAGACATAGCGAGTAACCAGTTACAGAGTTATTCCTCACTCAGCTGGCTTGTGTCTACACAGCACCCTTAGCTTGAAATAAGCTATCCAATTTGCACTACACAAATAAGTAGCTTTATTTAGAGTGTATTTGGAAACAGCTTATTTTGTAAGTTGGCGCTGTCCGTGTAGCAACAAATTTCAAAATAACTCACTTTTCCAAAATGCCCCTTTTCTCTCGTAGAATGAGGATTACTGAGATGTTGGAATAAGCTGCCCATTATTTCGAAATCTATTTTGAAATAATGGGCTGCTTTAGTAGACACAGAGTAACTATTTTGGGATACTTCCGGTATCCTGAAATAGCTCCACAGTGTAGACGTACCCGTGGTGTCTTCTTCAGACTGTACATGTTTATTGTTCATATGTGTTTCTCCCTGAAAGGAATTTTTCATCACACTTTGACATTGACTCTCATTTTTGTGATGGCCGGTTTTAAAACACCATTTTTTAAATCCCAGATGATAGCTAATGGTGAGTTGCTGTGTTAAATTCCATCCACACTGCTGGCCTGATTCTCCACTACCTTTCATCCCATATAGTTACTGATATCTGTTTGAAATTAATACAGGGTACTTATAAAATACTTCCATTCTGATCTGGTATTACTGTATTTTCATCCATTTTGCTCTCAGTGAATAAAACACTATCCAACTCAAAGCCCCAGTGTAGATGATATCAGAATAAGGGAGTAGGGAATCTACAAATCCAGATGGCTCTAAGAGAGTTTGAGAAGGAAATGTAATCACGTAAATCCTACTTATGTTAGAGCTGAATCTTTGATAGCTAACTCATGTGGTTATAAGCAGAATCTGAGTAAAGCCTTGTTGCTTGTTTACTTACTGAGTGTAATATGATATAGCTATGTTTTGTTGACTTAGAGTTAGTTTGTGTTTTTACGGAATTTTCCCTGAATTTGTTCAACACTAAGGGTGTGTCTAGACTACATGCCTCCTTCGACGGAGGCATGTAGATTAGCCAGA